CCCTGGGGTACCCCAGACACGACTAGTAATGGGTCTGATAGGGAGGTAGATACTCTGACAGTCTGGTGGCGGCAGGAAAGATAGGATGAGAGCCATTGCAGGGCTGGACCATGTACCAAGAAGACGGACTCTAGCTTTGCAAGCAGACCACGATGCCAGACGGTGTCGAAAGCTTTCGCTAGGTCAAAGAACACGATGCCAACATGCCGCCTGAGGTTCCGCTGGGTGTAGATGTCTTGTACTAGACGTGTTAGTTGGAAAGTTGTGGAGTCTCCACGGCAGAAACCGGATTGAGATGGTGAAAGCGCTGGGGTGACGTGGCAGTACAGAGACTCAAAGAAAATACGTTCACAGACCTTTGACACAGCGGGAAGGAGAGAGATTGGTCTGTAGTTGCCAGCCTGAGAGCGTTGGCCTTTCTTATAGATCGGGACGATAACAGCAGATTTCCAGACGGACGGAAATACTCCTGTACGATATGACATGTTAAAGAGCAGGCACAAGGGATAGGACAGAGATGGCGCAAGCCATTTGAGAACCTCATTGGGTATGCCATCTTCGCCAGGGGACTTACAATTCTTCAGGAGTTTGAGGTGCTTACAGACGGTAGCAGTCGTGGTAACGACGCGTGTGAGTGGTGCGCTAAGTTCAGGGGCTGGGGACAGCGATGGAATGTCCCAATTCGGATCCTCCGGAATGCCGGATGAAACAAACTGCTTGTTCAGTGTGTCTGCAATCGCCTTCACATCGTGCTGGCGGTTGCCATTGGAGTCCGTCAGGTACTGGATTGGCGCGCGGGAGGTCCCGCAGCACTGGTTGCGAATGAATTGGTGGAGTGATGGGCGATCGGGGGAGGAGAGTGTTGCAGAAAGAGAGTTTAGAAAGGAGCGGTGTGAGGTACGAGAAAGGTGCTTGACGAAGTTGCGTTGAACTCGGTAAGCCTCCCGGTTAACCGGCGTTGGGAATTTCTTGTAGATGCTGAAAAGATCACGCTTGCGCTTCACTTCAGATACGAGGGACCGTGTCACCCATGGGGGACTAGATGTCGAGGATGTGGGGTTGGAATGTTTCCGGTTGTTGTAGCCGATAGCAAAGTTAGAGAGGTGCTGTTGGAACCCTCGTTCAAGGACGGCTGCAAAGTGATCTACCGCGGCGTCAACAGTTGGAGAGCCTTCTGGTTGCAGAAACGACCAGTCGTGGCAGGAGAAATCAGCGTTCATAGAGTCCCAGCACTGAGAGGGAACTCGACGGAAGCGATATGGGAACGGTTTGCGAGAAGGAAGTGGCAGGTCTGGGTCCGAGGGCAATGAGACGGCGAACTGGCATGAAACCATGAGATGGTCCGAGGAGCCAAGAGCGCAAGCTGTGTGAACGTCCGTCGCCAGCAGGGGTTGGTTTGTGAAGACAAGGTCTAGACATGACTGTGTTCCGGAAGATGTTGTGTGCGTTGGACTCTGCACCAGCTGATCCAAACCGAAGCAGGTAAGGGTGCGAAAAAGTGCCGCCCCAGCAGGACACGTTAAATCCGATGGGCACCACCGTTTGTGCTTACTGTTGAAGTCCCCAGCCATTATGACATGGTACGATGACATGGGAACGGTTACCAAAGCACTAGCTAGCATATCACAGAAGTGGTCTATTTCCGTGGTTTTGACTGAGGGCGGACGGTAGGTACAGCAGACGAGGATGGGTGTCGGGGAGCCTAAGATTGGAATTCCCTTGTGCTGGACCTCGAAACTGAACGCCATAAGCAAATAGTATTGGATAAGATGTTACTCGACTCACTGTGGCAAGCCGTATGTCGTCTGGATAGGCAGTTGTTTGTCATAGTCAACAATTTTCTGGTCCTTCGTTCATCGTATTATTTCCTTGACGATCGCAATGAATACGAGGGGCTCTCATGCTCAGGTTAGTGTTTATTGATCTGTCTCTGCACATACTACAAGGTATTATTAATTTTGTGATGCAGCTACTAGCCCATTATGGAACTAAGGGAAGCAGCCAGATTTTTTGGATTCTCGTGCTGTCCCAAAAATCTCCACGTTTTCCCCTTCTCGTCTTCCCCTCAGGCATGAGCTTGGATTTTTGGTGTTTGCTTTGGCAGTGCATTTGATAGGTATAATTCAGACTTTAAGGCCTGTGGAAAATTGGTGTTTTCCTTCTCGACAGGGATAATAAGTAATGTACAGCAATGGTACATGACAACAGGTTACATGTTTATTTATTGATAATTGCGGATAACCCAAAGGCTGGTACTGTGGTACAGTGGAGTGCCTATGTCAAGGGGTATTTCTGGACAAACAAGCATCATGTAATGAGCTCAGCAGTGAGCGAAAACAAAAGCAATGGGATGGATGAACATATCGCGTTAGAAACAGTATGTCTCTTATAGGTTACCGTTCACGGTAACCCTTTCAACCCTAATTTTGACATACATGGTGCGTATTGTGTGCCCAGCTCGCTATAACATGGACCTTGCTAAAGCATAAAACTTGCCGTGCCCCAGAGAATATATAGTGAGGTCTCACCTCTAAGATGAAGTGTGATACCTACTGTAGCGGACAAGGAAATCCAGTCGATTGACCGGGACAGCGCCCTCAGCGCGTACAGAACGCTGCGTGCAGTGCACATGTTGATGCGATGCGACAGCACGCTGCAGCGCATAAAAGCATGTGTGTGCCGCTTATCCACGGCTGCATGGCCAGCGCCCTGGGGCCGCTAGATGTGCGACCGGATTTCCATGTCCACGACAGTAGTTATTGCATAGGTGTGAACATCATTATAATTGAATGCACGAATCGAACTCATTTCTTGGAGCTGACTGCTTTAATGTGCTCCCTGAATAAGAGACCCTTCGCACTTTTCCAGTTCATTTCGAATGAAGTTCCATGAACTCAATGAATACCTTGGGCACCATGTAAGAAGACCTTGGGGCCTGTTGGGAATGCTCCTGTAAAATAAGAACCTTACACTACAATAGGAATTGCAGGTGGCTTGAATGTACAGTCCTGCTCAATGAAATCCGGCCACGTCACTCAAGTTTGCGCCTCGCACCATTTCGCAGCCCAGTGTTCGCAGGTCTAGGGTCATGCAACGCCTGGCGCGTACTTGAGTGACACGACTGGATTTCAGGATTTCATTGGGCAGCACTGTACTAAGGCTATTCTCCCATACAAACAGCATGGTCATTGGTGCTGTTGGCAAGATGAGATTAACTAGAGAGGTCTTTCTTTAAAGGATGGCTGAACTTTTGTGTATTTCTGTAGCATCGTTCCCATGCCATGAATTTAATCATGAAATTCGTTCGCGAAACCAAGAGGCTTCCATCACCTTACTATTATTGTACCTTCACTTTCTTTTACCTTTTTTCATGCAGGATTCTGAAAGCTAGAGGAACCCCACTAGCCCCAAGCACTGAGCTTACAACTTCCAGCCACGAATCAGGCATGGTGTATCACGTTAGTTGTTATCACATCATTTCAGGGTACACTGGCAACAAATTTTCTCCTTGATTAGCAATGGTGGCCTGAATTATTGCCTTGCAAACCTCTGTTCCAATAAGCGTCTGGTGCCTAGTCATAGCCTAGTTCTTTCCCTAATATGGCTTATGGGTATGCTGCAGCCTGTGCTCTTTTTATGCCATTCACTGGCCTTGGTGCTTGTCTGGAACTTCCTGTAACTGGTGCCTGGCTCGGCATGCTATGTATGATGTAGAACATGCTCTATATAACGTATATTCTGTGCGCCATCTTCGAAATCAATCGACCAATTGTTGCCCAACCTGTTGATTTGTCCCGTCCGGAACACGATGTCGCTGTGCCCATGGTGCACTGTAGACTCAACATCCCGCTTCAAATTTAGCTTCACAATCACACGTTAATGCTGCTAACATGTTGTCTCGCACTTGATGGCATTGCTCTATTTCTGCCTTTAGTATTTGACTCTACTCTTTTTGCACTGCTATAATTTTATGCTACTTTAAAGCTCAGTGATAATATTGCGTGAGTCAAGTTTGCGCCCCGTGCCAGTTCACAGCCTAGTAGTCACAGGTCCAGGGCTGCACAGCGCTCCGCATGGCATTCACTCGCTTGATTGGATTTCATTGAGCAGCACTGTAGTATTCTGTGTTGGTCGATATGTCCTCTAAGTGACGACTCCTGTCTGTCACTCTGTCTTGAAAAGGACTTTTCGACTTGGTACTATGATCATTGTGTGTGGATTCACGAGTTACTCAGAGTAGAATTCACTATTAATTTCACATAGTAAAACCTGCCCGGGAAGGACGCCTTGCTGCAATGGAAACTGTCCTGATGTGAAAGGACTCCGCTTCATCCACAGCACTTTGGTGCATGAAAATTTGTCCGGTCAATACAGGATTCCGCTTGGTACAGCCTGGCAAACACAGGTTTTACTGCAATCCAATTTCAATGCATACGTTTCATCGCATACCGGTATGTTACGATTTTATTATGTGTGTACGGTTGGGGGGGGGGGGGCTGAGAAAGTGTACGTTTTGTGAAGCCGCTACGAACAGCGAAAATTATGTACAGGATGTTGCACGGTTCCCAGGTATTATTTTTCAAATCCCCAAGGCGCACAGCGCCGCCGGGATTATTTTTCATAATCCCTGCGGACATATCCTGTATAGACAACACTTGTTGGGTGAGCAGCATGAACCAGTGTGAACGGAACACTGAAGATGGAAATTACGGTGAAGCTTAACAATTTGTGGCATTCGACATACAAAAAATGATGCTAATTTTCATACGTGTAATGCAAGACACATGCAAGTGCTGTTGCAGTACAAGTAAATTATTGTATATGGAAGCCGTGCCTGATAGGTAACATGTTTTCACGGTGGCAGCGTGAACAAGGCGAGGACGCACTGTTTCCCATACAGTACGGCCTCGCCTTGTTCACGCATATTGTATAACCATGATGAATAATGATTCACGATATGAACACCTATAGCGGTGAATATTGAGCAATATTCACTACTTATGTAGATGGTAAATTGTATGTAGGTGAATATGCCAATATGGAGTGAGCTACAGAGTACAGTACACAGGGGTAAAGCAGGTTTCAGTGCCCCAATCATTGATTTCGGGGAATATCGTGGTGAATTTCGTCAAAAACACGGTTTCAGGAAACATGTGGAACTCTTAAAACATTGAGTTTGGAAGAATGAACTGCAGTAGTCGTGTGAAATCCTAGAGCAGACACTGCTAGCCGGCTCCGCATATCCGATCATTCAGGAGTACATTGAAGTTTAAAATATTCTGAAAGAAGCGCGGCAGCCGGGTTTGTAAGAAGAAAATGCTTCAGCCATTGTCATTGACAAGTGATGAGAACCGTCATTCCATGCCATTTGAGCTAGCAGTAACACCGGACAATACTGTCTGAGACAGCAAACACTAACGGAGCAAAAACAGCCATAATGTGTGTGAATGCGGAAACCGGCTGCAGAGGAGCATTTGCAGAAAAGAGCCGTCGTTCCGTGCTCGGGGTTCGTATCATGCCCTGGGTGCTCGAAAGCCTTAGTGGGATGCCACCCAGATGCACTAAATATCGACCCACAATCTCCACATGGTTCCCAGTGTACCTGCTGCGGATGCAAACAGACCAGAATGCCTGTATTTTGTTGAAATGCATTGCAGGGTCCACTGAAAGGTTAACACACAAGAAAAAGAAAAAGGATGAAAAAGGAACGAGGGAAGAAAAACACTGTGGCTGGTGTAGGAAGCAAATACTAGGATTAAGAATCCTAGAGACCAGCAAGTTTCGTCAAAACTGGAACTCCAAGCAGCTTGTGATGTTTGATGAGAATGGTAGTTACACCACTGACGGGCACTGACTCCGGGTAATGGGCATGTGCTTTGAACACCATGCAGCACATGAAAGCAACAAATCAGACAAAGCAGTACCACGCCATGCCCAATCAGAAGTGTTCGTCACCGTTATCAGAATAGCAGACAAAGAGTTACACAATGGAGGCATCCGTAAATACCGATATATTTTTCAAGACGACATTGTTCATTTCTCCCCAGATCGCCCCCCCCCCCCCCCCCCCCCAAACACGAACATGCAGACATTTCTGCTGGGATCAGTTTTTTAAATGAAGTGGCATGTCTTCGTGAAACGTGACCAACGGCAACTCCAAATTCACGGTAAACCTGGGTTTACACTGCCACGGTCATGCAACCTTGCCATGGCTATATTCAAGTGGTTGACCGTACTGCTTTCATACTCGTGCAGGAACATGTACATATTCGAATATTTCAAATATTCCTGGCACAAACGTTTGGTTCATTACATTTGTCCTGTGTTCTTTTAGACTGGTGTGGACGATGTCAAGAGTTAATAACCCCCCAAGAGTGTGCAACTCCCACATACACTGCTGTCATGACAGAATTTCAAGTTGACATCATTTCCATGATGCACTGCTCCTCGCACGAGTGATTTACGACGTTTCTACAGGGTATCAAAGTATCACACATGTTTCCTTGCATGAATTTGTACAGGAAAAGGAGAGATTTGTCAAACCACAGTTCCAGGATACGTCTGATCATACGTGTACACTGAGCATTGCATCATAAAAAAGACGTTAACTTGGGATACTATGTCAGCACAGCACCCATAGTGGAGTTACACTCTTCGGGGGTTATGTACTCTTGACGACGCAGACGTATAAACTATACTAGAAAATTCCTGGCATCGCTAAAAGTTATCCACATATTTGTCATACAACAGGCATATATACACTAGAGGAGAGTAAAAGTCAGTTTGCCTGACTATCCACGACAATCTATGGTCACGAGTGTGGACAATAATGTATAATGACAACTCCAGCCTGCTCTCACTATCGCTACCGAACAAAGCTTAACACACTGTAACACGACGTACATGTACCTGTGATGTCTGAAAGTAGTTTAAACTAAAAACAGTTCTTCACTTACTACAAGAAAGGCAGTTGACATACACATGTATTATTGTGGATTTTGCATAGGCAATTAATGTTAGAAGCCTAGCCACCAAACCTGGTTTGTATACGCGGCATAAGAAACAAATCGACGGGTTCGCGTACCAGGCAGGTCAAGAACAAGGAGTCGTACAACTCCCTGGTCAAGAACCACGTTTCCGCTTCCGTGGGACGCCACCTCATGATCAGGCATCAGATGCGGCTCCTAAACGGTGGGGGAGGATAGATCAGATCCACCAACCGGAGGCCAAAGGCCTCAATCCCATTTGCCACATCCATGTATTACTCATGCCAGGCCACGAGTTCCCAATTAACTGTGGGTCGCAGCACGGTTGGAAAAAATCCTTCCGCTTCCAAGCAGGAATACGCGGCATAACGGTAGGTTATTCAGTTTACACTCACCCACTCCAGCTGCTGGTTGCAGTCGTGTTAGACAGGTGCAGCCAGTCAAGTACACTTTGCAGGGATCTATTGTCAACGGAGAATAACGCCAGGCTGTGGTACCTACATTGGATACAGAATGACAACGGTGCACACAGTAAAAGATAATAGCATTCAGGACCTACTTCAGCTACAAATGCTCAGTGTGCCTGTGGGGTCTATGGACAAAATCGACAAAGAGGCACCGTGGAAATGAATGCATTGCCCGGATGCCAGACGAGTGCTACATGGCAAATCGATCCAACATGTAAATCAGCCACCACTGAGTGGTGACATTAAGTCATTAACCCACGTGATGTACCAACGTGCTGTGGATCAAACCCCAGTAGAGCTCCCACCCACAGAGCCTCCGCCTCATTTGCCGACACCACAGGAGGTGGAGAAAATGGAAGAGTCAACTCCAACAACATCATGTGTCGCGCAGGCCAGGCCAGGCTGCACATGGTCCCCACAGTGTAGCACAGTTTCTTTTTCTTCCAGACTCCTGAATCGTATGCACGCGGGTGACGAGAAACATAGAAAAAACGTGTGGCCTAATGCTGATACTGTGCAATCTAGAACAGTGCAATTAAGATGCACTGACAGTGTGGTCTCCGGTTATCGCTCAAGTCACAAAATTTACTATCAGACCGCTTTGTCAAATATCGTACTGGTCTCGTCATCGTCCAGTAACAATCGACATTCTTTGTTCCGTTGGGACTGTGGCTTTTGCTCGTTTTCGTTGCGCTTGCCTTCCCCTCTTTGGTCTTTCCATAACCTTGAACCTTCCAAGTTGGAAGGCTGTCGGTTAGCGCTACGGAGATGTGTTAAAGTTAGGTGTCAGGACGTCGAATGTCTCAGTACTCTGTCAGTTTTGTGCCTAGTTATTGCACTTTCTGACTGTATATAGTATCATGTTACAGTGATGGAGAGTTACTCTAAACTCGTATCCATATGTCCTTTTCTCTTTTACATTTATTTATGGCTCAACATCCGAGTTTCAAATTGCACACCTGATGAGCCGTCACGAACCATACGGCGAAACGTACGTCGTGTGGAACAACTTGTTTTGTAGTCAACTAGTCCATCACAATGTCATGCATGAGGAGTACTGTAGGAGTTTGGCTTTCGGCTTGTACAATTCGTTTTCGCAAAGCTTCCCTTTCTTTACTTATCTTTGATATTTATGACCCACCCAAGTTGGGTGGTGTGTTGCTTTGCTGCTTCGAATTGTAGTTAGACCGCTTTGTCAAATATCGTACTGGTCTCGTCATCGTCCAGTAACAATCGACATTCTTTGTTCCGTTGGGACTGTGGCTTTTGCTCGTTTTCGTTGCGCTTGCCTTCCCCTCTTTAGTCTTTCCATAACCTTGAACCTTCCAAGTTGGAAGGCTGTCGGTTAGCGCTACGGAGATGTGTTAAAGTTAGGTGTCAGGACGTCGAATGTCTCAGTACTCTGTCAGTTTTGTGCCTAGTTATTGCACTTTCTGACTGTATATAGTATCATGTTACAGTGATGGAGAGTTACTCTAAACTCGTATCCATATGTCCTTTTCTCTTTTACATTTATTTATGGCTCAACGTCCGAGTTTCAAATTGCACACCTGATGAGCCGTCACGAACCATACGGCGAAAAGTACGTCGTGTGAAACAACTTGTTTTGTAGTCAACTAGTCCATCACAATGTCATGCATGAGGAGTACTGTAGGAGTTTGGCTTTCGGCTTGTACAATTCGTTTTCGCAAAGCTTCCCTTTCTTTACTTATCTTTGATATTTATGACCCACCCAAGTTGGGTGGTGTGTTGCTTTGCTGCTCAGGGCCGGAGGAAGGAGTTTGGGAGTGGTCCGGTGTAAACGCGAAAACGGTTCCTCCGCGAAAATGGTTCCAGGCATACACCGGTTTCCCCCTGGAATCCACAGCCCACTAATTTCTGATCTATGACTAGCCGGGCTAGCCGCGAAAACGGTTTCAGGGATTAATTTTCTGGTGTAGGACCATCCGCGAAAACGGTTCCAGGCTACTGCGACCACTGTCTACTGTGGAACCGTTTTCGCGGACTGCAGCAACTGGGATCATCCGCGAAAACGGTTCCAGGCTCCAGTCTGTGTACAGACTTGACTGCTCCAGTACTGAGAAACTATTCGAAGACTTTTGTGACTGTTGGCAGTGTTGCTTTCCATTGCCTTTGTAGAGAATCACTCGCGATGGCCGAGGTATTTATGAGAGTTTGTGACTGTTGCTTTCCATTGCCTTTGTAGAGAATCTCTCGCGATGGCCGAGATAATTAATAAATGAGAGTTTGTGAGAATTCTTATTTTATGGCTTTCCTCTCAGACCTTACAATTTTTCAGTAGCTGTACTGCTGGCACTTGGCTTGGAGACATTTAGCAGGATTTGTGAGAACCTATACAGCTGGTACTTCAGTACATGGCTACCTGAACATTGATGGACATCTCGATTTGGTTTGTAGATGCAAATCATCGACAACGTTCGTATCGCTTATACAATAGACTTATAGAGAGTCAATACAGATGGCCGAGACATTTAGCATACTGGTAGTTTGTGAGATATTAACCTGTACAGCTAGTACTTCAGTACATGGCTAGCTGAAGTATGGAGATCTGGATTTGATTTCTGGATGTGAATCACCGTCAGCACTTATCAAGCCATCCAATGATCCATGCAGTACACCTACGTGAAGAACTCCTCAAGTCATGCATCTTGTACGCCTACGTGAAGAACTTAGTGGAGCTGGTGGAGCTGCACCATACTCTAACGTCTTGGCTGTGTCTGTGTCTGGCCAGAAAGCTAGAGATTGCCTGGGACCCGCTCCCTCTACAAGAGGTCAGAGCTGGTGTCCAAGTGTTGTCATGAGAACAAGCTCTACCTTCGTAACTTTGTCGGCAACACATGCATAGCTTTGTAATCACGCTACCTGCTTTGTGTGTGGGTGAGGGTGTGTGTCTGCGGCTGTGACTTTCGCTGTCCGAATGACTTATCCCGACACAAGAATTACTGTGTGGAGAGGAGTATGTGGGAGAGACGGAGTGTGTCAGGGAGCGAGTCCAGGAACATTACCGAGAAGCGAGAGCCTGTGCACCGCAGAAGCCCGGGGGAGAGCACTGCGCATTGCACCAACCACTACAACATCCATCCACAGCGCCATTCATTCCCTTCACATCACCATCCATACTCGCAACGGAAGTGTCATACGTGAACCGCCGGATAAGGGAGGCAATCCACATCTCCAGACACCATCCTAAGGTGAACCGTGATCGTGGCTGGGTGTTGCTTGACAATTGACAATGTGAAAAATTGGATGATGATCATTGTTTATGTTGCCACTGTCCTGTCCTGTTGTCATGTGTGCTTGTTCACCCCATTGTTATAATATACCGGTAGTTCAGCACAATGTTGTAGTGTATGTGCAGTTTGGCGACGGAATCTCATCTCCTTTTCTTTTGTCATAGTCCCACCACTATTCACACCTTGTTTTCAGGCACATTGGTATTTTTTGTGTGTGTCTTTACAGTCCATTCATCGGAAACTGGCCCGCTGGCTTTTGAAAGTCGGATTTGGGCCGAATTGAGGATCAAAAACCCACTTTAAATCTCAAAAATCTGGGTTTTGGATCTGCTTCTCCATACATTTTGCCACGGCATACCTGTCCTAATTTTGTAAAACCTGGCTGAATTTCTATTTCCCTGTTCTTGGACTTTTCTGGCCTCAAATGTGGCAAGGAGTAATTGCACGGGTCACACAATGCAGGATGTACTGTTGTTTTCACGATATCTAAAACTATGTGAGAGAGACACCAAAAAGTTAGGGTGCCAGTTTCCAATGAATGGACTGTAGTTACACGTGTTTGGGTGTGATTTGGAGTGTGAGCTTGTGTGAGTGAGTGTTGGTGCGAGTGTGAGTATGAGTGGGTGTCTCAGTGTTTTGGCATGTGCATGGGTATGTGTGTGTGTGTGCCTGCGCCAAAAGGATGGTGCAATTTTATCACGGTGTAGTTTCGTTTCACTTTGTGTTGCCTGTTATAGGTCCACCTCACTTGTTTTTTCTCCTCAATCCTGATGATGGCTCCTGGCCGAAAATTTGATTGAGAATTATTGTAATTGTAATGCTTGCTAATAGCTACTACAGTAGTAGTTGTTATTAGCTCTATACAATGTGATGAATCTGGAAAGGCGGTTTGTCTTCCATTGATTATTGGACTAAATTGGTCTAATGTGAACGTACATGTATACCACCCAATGAACACCCAACCGGGGATGTTCACACCCACTGGGTTATGGACACCTGTACAACGTGCATACTTTAGTGTCTTGTATTTAAAAAGCCTGTCTTGTATAGTCAATAGAAGCCTGGTTTCCATGCTGACATACAAATAAATACCTGGTTGAAGTATAAGCCTGATACACAATACACGACATTACGGTACATGCATACACCCTTCTGTAAAATGTACATGCATCCACACCAGATATACATGACTATGCATGTCACAACGCCATTCAAACGTATAGAAGTAGAAAACCGTACTTTACCAATAAAGAAAGACACCAAATATTATAGTGGATAGTTGCTGCATAACTCGTTCTCCTGTATTTCTTCTCTTTTTTACATTTATAACTGGCTCAGTATCCGAGTTTAAATATAAAGGAAATGTACAATAATTGCTCGGATACAAATGTAAAATAGAAGAAAAACACTATGGAACGAGTGATGAAGCAACTATCCATGGCTGTAACAAGATAATAAGCAGTCAGAAAGTGCGCTAACAGGGCACAAAACTGAATGTCTCAGTAGCCTGTCAGTTGTGTGCCCTGTTATGGCACTTTCTGCCTATTATCTTGTTACAGTCGTGGATAATTGCTTCATAGCTCGTTCCCTAGTGTTTTTCTTCTATTTTACATAGAATAATTGCAACAATGTGTCCAGTACAGAGAATGTGTCGAAAATGAAGGAGTCATAAAGGATCAAATCTGCTCTTTCAGAGTTAAAATAAAGTTACAGTCAGAAGACACAGAAGCACATCATACACATACCTATTAAATAAATAAATAAATTCGACGGGTTCGCGTACCGGGTAGGTCAAGAACAAGGAGTCGTACAACTCCCTGGTCAAGAACCACCTTTCCGCTTCAGTGGGACGCCACCACCCCATGATCAGGCGTCAGATGCGGCTCCTAAACTGTGGGGAGGATAGATCAGATCCACCAACCAGAGGCCAAAGGCCTCAATCCCATACACATACCTAAGAATCATATAACTACAATATGAACAAAGCAAATGCTAGGTCCTAAATACACATCACTGTCTGAAAGTGAAAGCCTAAGAAAGTGGTGGGATTTAGCCCAATGTAACACACGATAGATGCATTCAAGACTTCTATGGCGTGCTACAATGGTTACCAGATACAACCACGAGGAGGTACCCACCAATTGTACCCATTTTTTTGGCGCCAGTTACCATGCAATCCACATCGGAGGAAGGACAAGTAGGCTAAAGGAAAACACAAACAAACAAACTACTTTTTGGGCATGCTACAAAGATTAGGTTGAAAGCTCACGACGCACTCATGAAAAGTGCATAAAATACGCACTGGGCAAGGTCAACTTACATCAGCTTCTTCCGCTGGAACCGCGCTGCTCCGCTGCATGTACCGCGGAGCCACAGTGGAACCCGGGCCTTAGGCTCTGTTAACATGAGAATTTTCAACCCGGGTTGAAAGTCTGTACGGTCATGTATGGTGGAAAATTAGGTGCGTGCTTACATGTATATGAAGTGAGTTAATCCGGGTCAATTACTGTACTGATATGCCAACAGAAGCCTTGTCAGTTGTGGTCAGTTTTGTGTGTGGGCCTTCATGAAGACGGTTGAAAGTAATAATAATTAAATGTGGTGCACTAACTCCCTTACTTACACCACACACTACACTGTACCATCCTCTCGACTTTCACTGATTTGAGACTGAAAATAAATAAATCCAAGTAATAGTTACTCACCTCTCACAGACCTTCCTCCTCTCTTATCACGGCCAAGGTGACCAGACATATCATGCGAGTGGCATGGATGCAAGATCTCCTTTTGTTGGCCGTCGTCTGTGATCCATTGTGGTAGGCCTTCATCTGTTTGGCGAAAAAGGACCCCACGATCCAAGACGAAGTTGACTGCAAAGCGTTTTATTGCTCTACGCCTCTTCGCGTCCGCAGGAAACGAGGCAGGCGTTTGCAGGCAACGCTTGCAAGACTTCGTCGTAACACGCCCGATTACCACCAAGAGAAGACATCTTCAGGACGTTTTGAAGAAAAAAACCGAAAGCACAACTCATGATTGGGAACTGATTTCGCGGATGCATGTCGATCCGCGAAAACGGTCCATAGATGCAGGAAATGTGTGGAACCGTTTTCGCGGAGGAACCGTTTTCGCGGCTAGCTGGAACCGTTTTCGCGGTGAGACCCCATCCGCGAAAACGGTTCCAAGAGGGCCATAGATGCAGGAAATGTGTGGAAGAACCGTTTTCGCGGAGGAACTGTTTTCGCGGCTAGGGTGGAACCGTTTTCGCTAGCGAAAACGGTTCCAGGGGGTAACCGGTGTATGCCTGGAACCATTTTCGCGGAGGAACCGTTTTCGCGTTTACACCGGCCAACCTTTGAGGGGGGTCCGGGGGACGTCCCCCGGGAGAAATATTTAAAATGTACGTGAAATAGAGCGAATTTGGGCATCTCTAACTTCTAAGGCTCCAGAAAATGCAGAAAATAATTATAGTAAAAGAACACAAACACAACTTTTTTTATCCATATCAGCCATACAGTGCGGGCACGGAGTCCTGAGCTACTTCGAAGCACATCACACGTCGGCAGTACAGTCGAGTCGAGTCATGTACCTCTGGATTTTTTTACACCGGGTTTGCACGAATCACATGGACCATCCAGCTGGGAAAGCGGTCCGGCCATGGCCGGACCAGCCTGACCGGTTCCGCCGGCCCTGACTGCTTCGAATTGTAGTTAGACCGCTTTGTCAAATATCGTACTGGTCTCGTCATCGTCCAGTAACAATCGACATTCTTTGTTCCGTTGGGACTGTGGCTTTTGCTCGTTTTCGTTGCGCTTGCCTTCCCCTCTTTGGTCTTTCCATAACCTTGAACCTTCCAAGTTGGAAGGCTGTCGGTTAGCGCTACGGAGATGTGTTAAAGTTAGGTGTCAGGACGTCGAATGTCTCAGTACTCTGTCAGTTTTGTGCCTAGTTATTGCACTTTCTGACTGTATATAGTATCATGTTACAGTGATGGAGAGTTACTCTAAACTCGTATCCATATGTCCTTTTCTCTTTTACATTTATTTATGGCTCAACATCCGAGTTTCAAATTATTATCATGCTTTGTTTTTTGGTGCAAATCAAAACACATGCGGAATAGTATGGCTGAGGTGTGGCCCCACCAACTGGACCGAGGACCCATCACTTGCTAGCGGAGTCGGCATAGCGCCATTTGCGGACGGTGTGCGCAATGGTGTCGGGTCAGAATTCCTTGTCAAGCAGCGTTTGCTCAAACTCTTCCGCGACAGAAACGCGTGCATAGCAGGTACCAAAGTATTGGGTTTCGGCAATTGTGCATGCGTATACATCAACGCCCCTATCAGCGCACCAGGTGACAATGGACTGTGCCTTACTTCCAGGGCTAACATTCCCGACAAAGAAGGCACATCGCTTGGGAAGATGTGTGCCAGTGAGTGTGTTGGGGTTGGGGTTTTCTGTGGCCATTTTTCTGTAGACAGACACAACTTTGGATTTTGTTGCCCGGGCAATGGGATCGCTGTGGGCCGCTGATTTATTGCTCCTTCGCCGCTGTTCTTGCCAGTTGTTCTGATGGGGATCGCCTTCTGTGCTCCCAGCAGCACCCTGAGTACATGTGGGCTGTACTGGTGCACCACCGGCGCCTGCTGTTGTAAGTGCGCCCCCAGTTGTTGCATTTCTACCAGTGTGTACGGGTATGTTCCTGCGTTCCATGTGGTTGGTGTTAGGTACGGTGGCCCTGCTAGTGCTAGTTGACCTGCTGTGTAGAGTGCGTGCATCCTCTTCTGGCTGTGTGCTATTCGTACTCACTGTACGAGTACAACGGGATTGCATGTCTGGAGTGTCGCAGTGTACGGGCTTGGATGAACCATTGTACTGCTGCTGGTGAAGCTGTTGCACTTCCCCCTTCAGCTCCGAAATTTCCAGCTTCAAGGACAAAATTATGCTATCCCTGTCCTCCCTCATGGAGGCAATCTCCCCCGCCAAGGCCTGGATAGTGTTAGCAAGGCTATCTAGCTTAGAGTCATTAATCCACGACGTACCGGTGTCAGTGACGGGCTTCCCTCCAACGCCGTGCTTCCGCAGTGCCTGCACCAGCTCTGGCCGGGCGAGGCTCGAAGGGGAGTCCAGGGACTTGCGTTCAGCGATGGCGATTAGTTCCTGGTACCCGATCAGGGCAAGATCAAGGTTCTGGTCCAGGGACATTCTTAGTTTCAGCAAGGACAAAGGTAGAAGGGTAAAACTGCTGCGGGGGGCTCCCGGAAAGCTGTTCCGAGGAGCACCAAAAACGTCGACCACCCCCTGAGATTCAAAAAATCAATTACTTCAAGACATGCAAAGCAGCGGTGCAGCATCGCAGGCATGAATCGTGGACGTGGTGACGGGGTCTGATGTGCTCCACCGACCTAGGGTCTCGGTTTCACTGCACAGCAAACGCACAGCAAACGCGTGAGACAATAGAAGTGAAGTGAGAGCTAAGTGCAACAGGGGTGAGGAACTAATTGCACTTTGGTCTAGAGCTGGATGTTGTTGTGGCGTACTCTCTTGTGTTGCTATGGTGCATTGTGTTGTGGTGACAATGTGCACATTATCCATCTCCACGGCTCTCGATACGGGTAATGGAGGCACTATTGCCGTCGACGGCAATTGTGCTAACGATGGCTGTGATCGAGGGTTCTTAGGTGGCATGCCGCGTTTGGGTCGCAGTGCCCGTGCCGAGCCAGTCAGCATGTGCAGTGGGACGTGCTGCTTGATACGTGCGTTCAGATGTTGAAGAGTCCTACCAACGTACCGACTACCGCATTGTCGGCACTCAAATTGGTATACCAATTTAGATGCGAGTTGGGTTGGTAGGACATCCTTCCTCACCGTGAACGCACGTACAGTTGTGAAAACGGAAAGGTAAGGTAACTTGGAAAGGTAACCTCTCATTATCCATGAGTCGCGTGGTCTGGAAAATTGTACAACAAACGTACTACGCGGTACGTTTTGTACCCGTTTTACTTCTTTTCCTTATAGTTGTAGTCTTTTAGCTTATTTCCATCATTCCCTGTAGTATTTTGACAAGAAGGGAACGAAAACGTTCAATACTTTGACACATGTCCTAATTGGCTAGTGGTGACTCTCGCGTAGATGCATGCGTAGATAATACATTTTTTGTAATATTTCTGCCTCCGCCTTAAGGCTGTGTTTACATGAGAAATTTCAACCCGGGTCGAGTTCAGCCCGGGTTGAAAGTCTGTACGATAGACAAAAGAGGTGAGCGTTTACATGAAGACAGTTGACCCGGGTCAAATACTGATATGCCGCCAAAAGTCCACTTCTACAGTCCGCCAGGAATGTGGCATTGAGGCGGCCATTCACGCCATGCACGACACGTTCCATGAAGAAGACGTTGACGCTGTGCTTATGGCGGATGCATCCAATGCGTTCAATCGCCTTAACAGAGAAGCATGTATGCGCAACGTAGCGCACCTCTGTCCAGCCATCACACCCGCTATCGTAAACTGCTACCGTCAGCCGGCCCGCCTATTCGTGGACGGGGAGTGCCTCCTATCGCGAGAAGGAACAACGCAGGGAGATCCTCTTGCTATGCCGATGTACGCTTTGGGGGTACTCCCCCTGGTGCGCAGAGTGGCAACCCCAGGAACACGCCAGAGCTGGTATGCGGATGACTCGTCCGCGGGTGGCGGGCTCAACCCTCTCCGCCAGTGGTGGGACCGACTCGTCGGGGATGGGCCGGCGTTCGGGTATTTCATTAACCCCAGCAAGTCCGTCCTCGTCGTCAAGCGGGACAAGCTAGAGGCAGCCGAGACCATCTTCGCCAGCACGGGTGTGTCTATCACCACTGACGGGTGCCGTCACCTTGGATCAGCCATCGGAACTGATCAGTTTGTGCAGGAGTTTGTGGCTTCCAAGGTGGCCACCTGGTCGCAGGAGCTGTGCAAGCTGACAGATTTCGCCCGGTCACAGCCTCAAGCAGCTTACTCTGCACTGGTGAACAGCCTCCAACACCGGTGGTCCTTCCTGTGTCGGGTTCTCGATGGTGCTGCAGAACAGCTGGCACCCCTGGAGGACATCATCCACCGCCGCCTAATCCCTGCCATTAGTGGACGGACGGCGCCCAGTGAAGCTGAACGCATTTTGCTCACTTTCCCCTGCCGGCATGGAGGCCTCGGCGTGGCCAACCCTGCCACTTTTGGCTCACAGTACGGCACCTCCAGGCTAATCACCACTGCGCTGTACGACAAGATCATGGCGCAAGAAGAGCACCTCGATGATGCTCTTGCCTGTGTCCGCAGGGCCAAGAGTCAGGCTCGCTCTGAGGCCAGAAAGGCAATGAAGATAGCTGCCGATACGTTCCGCACCGAACACAGCGAATTCGATCTCGCTATCAGTCTGGCAGAGGAGAAGGGAGCATCAAGCTGGCTTACCTGCCGACCCATCGCTCGCCATGGCTTCGCTTTGTCGAAGGGGGAATTCCGGGATGGCCTCTGCCTCCGTCACGGTTGGACGCCTTCTCGCCTGCCCACCACCTGTGTTTGCGAGAAGGCATTCACCACTGCTCACGCCTTGTCCTGTCCTTTCGGTGGGTTCCCCTCGATCCGCCACAACGAGGTGCGTGACATACTGGCAAGCTCATTGAAGGGTGTCGCCCACAACGTCGCAGTGGAGCCACATCTCCAACCCCTGACTGGGGAGCAGTTTCAGCTCCGGTCAGCATCAACCGAGGATCAAGCTCGTTTGGATGTGGTGGCCAGTGGAGTTTGGGGGGGGGGGGGTCGGTTCGAACGCACTTTTATTGATGTACGGGTGTTCAACCCTTATGCGTCTTCGAACCGCACCTCCTCTCTCTCTGGCTGCTACCGGCACCATGAGCAAGAGAAACGGCGTCGATATGATCGGAGAGTCCGAGAAGTGGAGCGATCCACTTTTCTCCCCTTTGTGCTCTCTTCCACCGGAGGATGCGGCAAGGGTGCCGCTGCACTGGTGAGCCGGATTGCACATCTCCAGTCGCTACGTGGGAGGGAGGCGTATTCTGTGCTAATTGCCCACCTCCGCTGCAGGCTGTCTTTCGCCCTGCTGCGTTCGAGTGTCATGTGTCTGCGTGGGGCTCGCCGAGTTTGGCAGCCTCCAATGGATGGCTGTGCCTCCCTGGCTGTCGTGGAGGCTAGGGTGTCCCGTTGAGCCTTGCCCCGTGATTGTGCGGACTATGCTATGCTTCTCTTGCTGTCTGATCACATGCGACGTCATCATTATGTGATTTGTTTTCAATCCTTCCGCCATGGCAAATTGTGTTTTGTTCGCCCGTAAAAGAGGCTTTTACTACAAAAAAAAAAAAAAAAAAAAAAAAAAAAAAAAAAAAAACTTCTACAGTCCTGTATGGTCACGTGAATCCGTTTGCGCGAAATTTGCATCTGCAGTGCCGTTCAAACCTGGCGCGAGATACGCACAGAAGTACGTTTGTACGATTTTCTTGACCCGGGTTGATTTCAACCCTCCCCTTAGGCGGTGTTTACATGAGGCGTTTCAACCCGGGTTGAGTTCGACCCGGGTCAGATTTCAACCCGCCATGTGCATAAAATGAATTGCGCGTTTACATGACGCATTGCGCTTGACCCGGGTTGAGTTCGACCCGGGTCAGATTTCAACCCGCCATGTGCATAAAATGAATTGCGCGTTTACATGACGCATTGCGCTTGACCCGGGTTGAAATTTCGCCCCGGGTTGATTTCAACCCTCCCCCAAGGGGAGGGTTGAAATCAACCCGGGTCAAGAAAATCGTACAAACGTACTTCTGTGCGTATCTCGCGCCAGGTTTGAACGGCACTGCAGATGCAAATTTCGCGCGAACGGATTCACGTGACCATACAGGACTGTAGAAGTGGACTTTTGGCGGCATATCAGTATTTGACCCGGGTCAACTGTCTTCATGTAAACGCTCACCTCTTTTGTCTATCGTACAGACTTTCAACCCGGGCTGAACTCGACCCGGGTTGAAATTTCTCATGTAAACACAGCCTTAGGGGGAGGGTTGAAATCAACCCGGGGCGAAATTTCAACCCGGGTCAAGCGCAATGCGTCATTAAAACGCGCAATTCATTTTATGCACATGGCGGGTTGAAATCTGACCCGGGTCGAACTCAACCCGGGTTGAAACGCCTCATGTAAACACCGCCCTAGTGTTAGGTACCTCCTCCCGTACCTTTTCTAGCTGGCCTCCATGCACTTGCGTACTCACCTTTTGTCTCCTTTTGTTCCATTGGCCTGGGTAGCTTCTTGCGCGCCCATATTTGCCATAGCTATCCAGGCCCTTTATCTTGCCATCTCTGGCTCTCTTTTCTCACTCTTCAATAATCACCATGTAGTCGTTTCGTTCGTCTTGGGCGGTGTTTACATGAGGCGTTTCAACCCGGGTTGAGTTCGACCCGGGTCAGATTTCAACCCGCCATGTGCATAAAATGAATTGCGCGTTTACATGACGCATTGCGCTTGACCCGGGTTGAAATTTCGCCCCGGGTTGATTTCAACCCTCCCCCCAAGGGGAGGGTTGAAATCAACCCGGGTCAAGAAAATCGTACAAACGTACTTCTGTGCGTATCTCGCGCCAGGTTTCAACTGCACTGCAGATGCAAATTTCGCGCGAACGGATTCACGTGACCATACAGGACTGTAGAAGTGGACTTTTGGCGGCATATCAGTATTTGACCCGGGTCAACTGACTTCATGTAAACGCTCACCTCTTTTGTCTATCGTACAGACTTTCAACCCGGGCTGAACTCGACCCGGGTTGAAATTTCTCATGTAAACACAGCCTTAGTCTCTTGTCCCGTCTCTAATAAAATTAATGTTGTTCCACCAACCTACCTGTTCCCGTTGTAATGTCTGAATAATGTGTTGTCAGTCGTCCTTTTTCGTATTGAACACTAGTTTCAAATTATTATTATTATTATCATTATGTAGACAACACCTCATGGCATGAAAAGAAAATCAGCCAGTACGGGAGATGTGGGTGTTAACCAACCATGGTGGATAAAAGAAGAAAAGAAGAAAAGTCATGGTCAAGACGGAGAAGCATGGAAGGGACAGGTGATGGTGAATCTAGTGAGCAGACTTAAATGCATTGCTAGGTTAGGCAGCTTTAGGTCATCGAAGATGGGCGCCATATAGAGAAACCAAAGGACGGGAGACATCGAGGAGCCTTGTGGGACACCACGGTAGGCTTCGGCGGATTATGCTCGCGAAATCATGGAATTATGCTTTCATGGATTCTCGCATTATGCTCGCAAAATCTTCATATTATGCTTTGGCACGTGGGGATACACATTCACTTTGTTGCACTTATGGAGCCTGAAACGTCGGGAAATTGTGCCTTTTCGTAC